CATCACCACCATTACCATTACCACATCACCATTACTATAACCACATCACCATTACCATTATCACATCATCATTACCATTACCACATCACCATTACCATTACCATTACCACATTACCATTACCACATCACCATTACCATTACCACATCACCATTACTATAACAACATCACCATTACCATTACCACATCACCATTACCGTTACCACATTACCATTACCACATCACCAATACCATTATTACGCAAATGCGTGGTGTCCGCAGCTCTCACCTATCATGCCAATGAGTGGTGTGCGCAGCTCATGCGACGTGTTGGCCACCGTCTCCCTATTGGAATTCTCTACTCTCTCCATCGGCTTTTGATGCGGCTCAAAACTCACACTACGCATGTCGACCTCACTCAGGTCTAAACGTCCTAACACATGCACGGGTGAACGCCCTCACACATACATGTGACGCCCTCCCTCACACGTACCGATACATGCCCTCTCCCCCTCACCTATCACGCCGATGAGTGGCGTGCGCAGCTCATGAGACGTGTTGGCCACCGTCTCACTCTTGGACTTCTCAGCTCTCTCCAGCGCCGCCGTACACAGCTGCATCTCTCTCACCCCCTCTGCCATCTGCCGCCTCTTCCATGCCAGCACGGCGATCACGAGAGACAGCAGCACGGCTACCACCAGCACCAGCAGGCCCAGCAGAATGGGAGCCACAACCAGGTCCCACCTGGGGTAGGGGCCTTCAAACCTGCGAATTGGCATTCACGTGAAGGAGGGAGTCAGACATAATTCCATGCCAGCACGGCAATCACGAGAGACAGCAGTACGGCTACCACCAGCACCAGCAGGCCTAGCAGAATGGGAGCAACAACCAGGTCCCACTTGGGGTAGGGGCCTTCAAACCTGCACACGGGGATTCGGGGATTCATGTGGAGGAGAGAGACATGCATGTGCATGCGCCATTTTATGTGAGTCAGACAGACTTGACGGGAATCTCTCAGCTGAAGCTTAGGAGGATGCATGTGCAGCACATGCACTGCCCCCTTGTCTTGAGTCGACTCAAAAGCAGCTTAGGAGGATGTATGTGCAGCACATGCAACTGCCCCCTTCCCTCACCTACAGTGCGCCTCATATTTGTGGCCAAGAAAGTCCTCAGGAAAGGGCTCAACGCGCTTGGGATGAAGCACCACAGGGCCGGGCAGCACATAGGGGTAGAGGGACCCGCTCTCCAGCCACACTCCCTCCTCGCCTCACCTCCACTCCCTCCTCGCCTCACCTGCACTCCCTCCTCGCCTCACCTGCACTCCCTCCTCGCCTCACCTGCACTCCCCCCTCGCCTCACCTGCACTCCCTCCTCGCCTCACCTGCACTCCCCCCTCGCCTCACCTGCACTCCCTCCTCGCCTCACCTCCACTCCCTCCTCGCCTCACCTGCACTCCCTCTCTCCTCGCCTCACCTGCAGTGTGCCTCATATTTGCGGCCCAGCAGGTCCTCAGGAAACGGCTCAATGTGCTTGGGGTAAGGCACCACAGGGCCCGGCAGCAAATAGAGGTAGAGGGTGCCACTCTCCTCCCGCACCTCCTCCTCGCCTCACCTGCAATGCGCCTCGTATTTGCGGCCCAGCAGGTCCTCAGGAAACGGCTCGATGTGCTTGGGTTGGGGTCAGGCACCACAGGCCCGGGCAGCACATAGGGGCAGCACAGAAAGGCACAGGGTCCCACTCACTCTCCACCCACAGGGAAGGGTTTTCCTCACCTGCGGTGCGCCTCATATTTGCGGCCCAGCAGGTCCTCAGGGAAGGGCTCGATGTGCTTGGGGTAAGGCACCACGGGGCCAGGCAGCACGAAGGGGAAGAGGGTGCCACTTTCCAGCCACAGGGGCTCTTTGTCTCTCACCTGCAGGCTTATTTACCCGTACTGCTTCCTTCTCTCACCTGCAGTGCGCCTCGTATTTGCGGCCCAGCAGGTCCTCAGGAAACGGCTCGATGTGCTTGGGGCCCGGCACGACAGGGCCGGGCAGCACGTAAGGGAAGACGGTGCCGCTCTCCATCTTGACTGGATCCGGGCCGAGAACTTGAATGGGCTGTTGCGAGTCAGTGGTGTCGCCAGGGCGATCGAATAGGAGCTCGCGCTGCTGTCTGCATGGGCTCGCTCACACACACACACACACACACACACACACACACACACACACACACACACACACACACACACACACACACACACATCCATTCATACAAGGCACGGGAGAACACAGGCTTTAAGGGACCTCAAACAATGGGCTCCGGGCCGAGCACCTGAATGGGCTGCTGCTGGTCGGTGGTGTGGTGCCATACAGCGCGATAGAGTAGGAGCTCGCGCTGCTGTCTGCATGCATGCAGCGAGAAACACACATGAATGGAACGAAAGTGGGGGCACTGCACGGCACGGCACGGCACATGAGGGTTTTGAGTCGACTCTAAAGCACTTGAATGGGCTGCTCCGGGTCGGTTGTGTTGTGCCGTACATGGCAATGGAGTAGGCGCTGGTGGTGCCTGCATGCAAGCACACACACATGCGAGGCAAGGGGGACACAGGTTTTGTGGAGTCAAAGCAGTGGTCTATGGCCCGAGCACCTGAATGGGCTGCTCCGGGTATGCTTTGTTGTACATGGCTATGAAGTAGGTGCTGCTGGTGGTGGTGCCTGCATGGGATGGGACCACACACACAAGGCATGGGAAGAACATCAGTAGTAGGGTCTCCAGACCCACCACCTGACTGCTCCGGGTCGGTTGTGTTGTGCCGTACATGGCAATGGAGTAGGCGCTGGTGGTGCTGCCTGCATGCAAGCACACGCACACGTACGGCAAGGGGGACACAGATTATGAGGAGCCAAAGCAGTGGTCTCCTGGCCGAGCACCTGAATGGGCTGCCCTATATCGGTTGTGTCGTGCATGGCAATGGAGTAGGCGCTGGTGGTGCTGCCTGCATGCAAGCACACGCACACGTACGGCAAGGGGGACACAGATTATGAGGAGCCAAAGCAGTGGTCTCCTGGCCGAGCACCTGAATGGGCTGCCCTATATCGGTTGTGTCGTGCATGGCAATGGAGTAGGCGCTGGTGGTGCTGCCTGCATGCAAGCACAAGCACAGAGGGCACATGAGGCCTTTGAATCGAGTCAAGAGAACTTGAATGGGCTGCTTCGGGTCGGCTGTGTCGTACATGGCTATGCAGTAGGCGCTGGTGGTGCTGCCTGCACGCAACACACACGAAGCACAGGAAGAAGAATATATGAGTTGAGTCAAAAAGTCTTGAATGGGCTGCTCGGCTCGGGCCGGTTGTGTTGTGCCATACATGGCTATGGAGTAGGTGCTGCTGCTGGTGCTGCCTGCATGGGATGGGACCCCGCACACAACACACGCAAGGCAAGGGAAGGGGGACGCGGGTTTGTGGAGCCAAAGCAGTGGTCTCCCGGCCGAGCACTTGAATGGGCTGCTCCGGGTCAGTTGTGTCGTACATGGCAATGGAGTAGGCACTGGTGCTGCTGTCTGCATGCAAGCACACACACACACACACACACACACACACGTTCATGGAAAGCACAGAGGGTACATGAGGCCTCGGCTCCAGGCAACATATGGGCTCAAAAGAATTGCGAGGAGTGGTGCTGGGAAGTGAGTGCGAACCGTTATGCAGCAGGTGACACAAACGGGGGCAGCGTTGGGAAAGAGAAACGATCGAACCGTCATGCAGCAGGTGACACAAACGGGGGCAGCGTTGGGAAAGAGAAACGATCGAACCGTCATGCAGCAGGTGACACAAACGGGGGCAGCGTTGGGAAAGAGAAACGATCGAACCGTCATGCAGCAGGTGAAGGAGGGCTTGTGACTCGTTGCCCAGATAGCTGAGGTCGGTCTGTGCCACTAGGAAGGAATGAGGGCAGTGACGGGAAAGTGATCAAACCATTCTGCAGCAGGCTAAGGGCCGTTATGGGGAAGGGATCGGACCGTTATGCAGCAGGTGAAGGACGTCTTGTAGCTCGTTGCCAATATAGCTGAGGTCGGCCCATGCGGTTGGACTCACACTCTCCCTCCGCTGCTCCGGCGATGCGTTCTCGGGGACGGGATGGCGCAGGATGGGCACCACAATCACTGCACACATGGATGGATGGATGGATGGATGGATGGATGGATGGATGGATGGATGGATGGATGGATGGATGGATGGATGGATGGATGGATGGATGGATGGATGGATGGATGGATGGATGGATGGATGGATGGGTGGGTGGGTGGGTGGGTGGGTGGGTGGGTGGGTGGGTGGGTGGGTGGGTGGGTGGGTGGGTGGGTGGGTGGGTGGGTGGTGGGTGGGTGGGTGGGTGGGTGGGTGGGTGGGTGGGTGGGTGGGTGGGTGGGTGGGTGGGTGGGTGGGTGGGTGGGTGGGTGGGTGGGTGGGAGGGTGGGTGGGTGGGTGGGTGGGTGGGTGGGTGGGTGGGTGGGTGGGTGGGTGGGTGGGTGGGTGGGTGGATGGATGGATGCAACCCAACTGCAGATTGGTTCGCGAGGCATCCTCGTTTTACTGTAAACACCCAATTGCAGATGTGGTTTACTGTTGCTCGCTGGAATATGTCTAATAAACTGCAGATCGGTTCGTGTCGAGCATAAGACCGATTTAATCAGGTAGCGTACGGTCAAAGTAAAAATGCACGCGCCTTACGCTGAACTGTAGTGCAACAATTTGAGCGAGAATACGGATCATGTGACATGACACCACTTACCCACCAATGTTCACCCACATTCCGGTGTTCACCCACCCACTCACCCAAAAGAACAGGCAAATGATCTGTCCCAAAACATTTTGAGACGTCTCAAAATGTTACTTTTATCACCTCGCCCAGAAAAACAGGCACATGATACGTCCCAAAACGTCTCAAAACGACTCAGCTTGGGAACTCTTTTGAAACGTCTCTGAAAGAATGAGCTCACCAGTGCCCACACGCAGCTCACCAGTGCCCACACGCAACTCACCAGTGCCCACACGCAGGTCGCTGTCGAAAAAGACAGGCGCCAGCGAGACAGAGTTTCCATCGAGTATGGAGGAGAGGAGCGCCGGGGAGACCATGGCGGAGAAATCGATGAAAGCCTCGAGATTGGCAACGTAAGCGTATCCGGGAAGAAAGTTGATGACGTAGTGCGGCTTGCGGGGAGAGGGCAGCCCGAGAGGTGACTTGATGTCCATGCCTGTAATGCGCTCCACCAGTGCCCTGGGGGAGAAAGAGAGGAGCGGAATGGGACAGAATGTACTGTTGAGGCGCCACAAGAATGACCATGCCTGGGATGCCCTCCAGGAAGGCCCTGCGGGGGAAAGAGAAGGGAGGAGAGGAGCGCCGGGGAGACCATGGCGGAGAAATCGATGAAAGCCTCGAGATTGGCGACGTGAGCGTATCCGGGGAGAAAGTTGACGATGTAGTGCGGCTTGCGAGGGGACGGCAGCCCGAGAGGTGACTTGATGTCCATGCCTGTAATGCGCTCCACCAATGCCCTGCAAGCAAAGAGCAATAGGGGGATGAGAAAGCAACTGGAGGTAGAAAGAGAGATAGGGGAACACACACACACACACACACTCACGCCCACCTGTCAGCATCCTCCACTTGCATGACGAGCGTCCCTAGAGTGAGGCTCTACAGGCCCATGCTGACGGTTAAGGAAGTAGTGTTTTGAGATGTCTCAAGACACTCCAGGCCCATGCTGACAGTAGGATTGTAGCGCAGTGCACACACACCCACGCCCACACCCACGCCCACACCCACGCCCACGCCCACGCCCACACCCACGCCCACGCCCACGCCCACGCCCACACCCACGCCCACGCCCACGCCCACGTGCACACCCACGCCCACACCCACGCCCAAACCCACACCCACGCCCACCTGTCGCTATCCTTCACGAGCATGAGCAATGTCCCTAGGGTAAGGTAATCCAATCCCATGGCGGTGGTGGCGTCTTTGTATCGAACCAGGCTGTCGTTATTGGCACACCCCGCCACGCCCCAGTAGGTCAGGTTGGTGCTGCTGCGCGGACCGTATCCGTTTAGCACTCGCAGCAGCGCTGACATTTGCTGCACGCACGCAGCACACACGCACACGCAAACACAAGGAGTTGAGCAAGGGCGGTGGTGCACACCCCCCCACCCACGCCCCAGTAGTTGAGGTTGGAGGTGCCACGCGGGCCGTAACCGTTCAGCACACGCAGCAGCGCCGACATTTGCTGCTCACACACGCAAGATGGAACGAGAGGGCTTATCAGTTGACTGAAAGGTTGGTGGTGCTGCGCGGGCCGTACCCGTTCAGCACACGCAGCAGCGCTGACATCTCCTGCATGCACGCACACGCACATGCACACACGTGCGCACACATACACACGCACACATGCACACGCGCAAATGCACACGCACACATACACACGCGCACATACACACGCGCACAGACACACGCACACATACACACGCACACGTACACGTACACACGCGCACATTCTGCTGCTGCTTAAGCGTCGCTTCACACACTGCTGCTCTTCTAACTATGAGTGAAGACACGCGCACAAGATCTGCTAACACATACACACGCGCACATACACACGCGCACATACACACGCGCAGACACACGCACACGTACACGTACACACGCGCACATTCTGCTGCTGCTTAAGCGTCGCTTCACACACTGCTGCTCTTCTAACTACGAGTGAAGACACGCGCACAAGATCTGCTGACACATACACACGCGCACATACACACGCGCACAGACACACGCGGACATACACACGCACACGTACACGTACACACGCGCACATTCTGCTGCTGCTTAAGCGTCGCTTCACACACTGCTGCTCTTCTAACTACGAGTGAAGACACGCGCACAAGATCTGCTGACACATACACACGCGCACATACACACGCGCAGACACACGCGGACATACACACGCGCACAGACACACGCACACATACACACGCACACGTACACGTACACACGCGCACATTCTGCTGCTGCTTAAGCGTCGCTTCACACACTGCTGCTCTTCTAACTATGAGTGAAGACACGCGCACAAGATCTGCTGACACATACACACGCGCACATACACACGCGCACAGACACACGCGGACATACACACGCACACGTACACGTACACACGCGCACATTCTGCTGCTGCTTAAGCGTCGCTTCACACACTGCTGCTCTTCTAACTATGACTGAAGACACGCGCACAAGATCTGCTAACACATACACACGCACAACGAGCTCAGCAAGGCCGTCTCCCCTCCGCGCCGCCCCTCTGGGTTCCGCACCCCGGGGGCCGCCATCAGCGCGCGGGGCGGTGGGAGCGCGCCGCTGCGCGACGGAGAGAGCTCCGAGGCGGAAAATTCAAGTCGACTCGAAATTCGCGTCGCCGCTGCGCGACGGAAAGAGCTCCAGGACACCAGACGGAATGTCGTTGACAGTCGTGTCCCCGTGTCCCCCGTGTCAAGCGCGCCGATAATTTTTGCCTACCTGCCACGAGGCCGAGCTCGCCACGCGAGGCCGGGCTCGCCACACGAGGCCGAGCTCGCCACACGAGGCCGAGCTCGCCACACGAGGCCGAGCTCGCACAGACAAAGTCCTCACTCATGGGGACCTCACGTTCGGACAATTTCTGAAAGTCAAGGCCTACCTGCCACGAGGCCGAGCTCGCCACACGAACGTTTGATTTCTATACGGGACCTCCCGAGCTCGCCACACGACGTTTAATTTCTAGCGGGACCTCCCGAGCTCGCCACACGAACGTATAATTTCTATACAGGACCTCCCGAGCTCGCCACGGGACCTCACCTGCTCTACCTCTTTTGCGTTGCTATCCGTCGCTATGGGTCGCTATGCGTCGCTATCGCTACGCGTCGCACCTGCACGCGCGAGACCAACGAGAGCAGGCGCTGGTAGAGGTAGAGCACGCGCAAGTGGCACCACCCGCGCATCGCCTCTTCCCGCGGATTGGCGGCCTGCGTGTGCGCGAACCACACCACCCACGCGCACAGCCCCGCCCATCCTGCCACCCACACCACTCCCAGCAGCGCTCTCCCCACGCCCCACGGCGGGCCCCGGGGCGAGAGGCGCCACGGCTGGCGCATTAGACGTCTGTAGCTTGGATTCAGGATGAAGAGTGAACAGCGAAAGTGAATAGAACTGAGAATGAGGAGAGCATAGGCGGGGAACTAGTGGTCTCAGTTATGTAAGACTATGTGTAAAAGGTTAGAATGGAGACTGCTTGGTCGCCTTGGATTGGGCGACTGCTGCAGTGCTGGGGCTTGTGGGCCACGCGCACCGCACAGCAGCAAAGTGAATGGCGCTGTTCTCCATCGCTGCATTCTGTTGGCGCAAAGATCAAACCCTAATGGGGAATACAAGAGGGCAAAGATCAAACTGGGGCCGAAAAATAGCAGGGAGGTGTCCAAATTAGGGCCGGGTAATTCGTAACCGTTCGATTCATCCCCGGAGCTGCCCATGTGGCTGGGCCGATAACGCGAACCGGGTTCTTGCGGATATTCTCGAAATCTTGACGTTTTTATTTTAATGTTTTTCTCACACGAAGCTCGCGCCGGTTTCCTCATCGTGTATATATTTTGGAGACACATCACTTACCTGACCTAAACAAATATAACCCGCTCGGAAACGGATGCGACTCGGGGAGGCATCAACAAATAAACACCAGGCGGGTTCCCGTGTTTAGGGTTGATCCCTCCCAAAAATGCGTCCAGGTTCGCTAAGGGTTTTAGTTTTTCTGCCCTGCCCTAACAGTTCCTGGTAGCGTCGTCTAGTGCTTGGTGACGCTAACGACGTAAAGTTTCTCTCAATCAGTTAGCGTCCTAAGGACGTGGGCCCAATCGACTTTGATCGGCTCTGATCGGATCGGTTTGGGTCGGGTCGGATTGCTTGTGATCGTTTTTCTCGCGCCGCCCGATCAGAGACGATTTTCCTCGAATGTTTCGTGCTCTTGCATGAAAACTGTCGGCCCATTACCTGGTAGTTGCATCCCAACTTTGGCGCCATGGCTGTGGCGTAGATCTCAGCCTCACAACTGGAGCTGAGAACAGAAGAAGAGCGAGTAGAACGCCAAGAAACTGAACCAGAGCCAAGGCTGAAGGTGTAACCCTGAGACGACCGCTGCGTAGCCTGGTCGTCAGCCCAAGAAGCGTCTGAGTGACCCGTGAGGACAACGTCGCTCCGACCTCCAAGCACGAGCCCCATGCCCGACGTACTGCACAAGTAGCGCAACACCCTCTTAGCGGCATCCATGTGCTCCTTCCGGTGACGGCCGGGAGCGACATAGCGTGCTAGGATGCTAAGAGGGTATGCCAGGTCAGGTCGAGTGCAGGTCATCAGGTACATGAGGCAGCCCACAAGCTCTGGATACGGGCCACTCGGCTCTACGGACTCATCCGAAGGCAGAGCTGAGAGCGAGTGACTGGTAGGCAGAGGAGTGGGCTGAGGCGAGGAGTACGTGAAGCGGAAGCGCTGAAGGACCTGCTGCACCATGTGTGACTGAGTCAAGGTGATGGTGTGCTGTGCTCTGTCCCGGGTGATCCGCAAGCCAAGATAGCTTGTCAGCTCACCCAGGTCTGTGCACGTGTGTCTCTTCTGCAGCTCCGACTTCACGTGGGCGAGTGCCTCAGTGTCAGCAGTAGCAAAGACCAAGTCGTCTACGTAAACAAGAACGTAGAACGGCGGCAGAGTGGTGTCGGTGCGTAGAAACAGCGACGGGTCAGCAGTAGAAGGAGCAAACCCAAGAGCAGCAAGAGTAGTCCTCAGTGTGTCGTGCCACTCACGGGGTGCCTGGCGGAGACCGTAGACTGGCCGCCGGAGGCTCCACTGGGTACCAGGAGGGAACGACCCAGTGAAGCCAGGTGGGCGGCGCAGCCAGATCTCCTCGTGCAGGCTGCCCTGTAAGAACGCAGTGCTGAAGTCAAGAGAGTGGAGCTCGTAGTCACGCTGAGCAGCGACGTGCAGCAGAACCCGAAGAGTGGTCATCTTCGGGGTCGGGGAGAAGGTCTAGAAGAAGTCAACTCCCTCTCGCTGACTGAAGCCTCGTGCAACGTAACGCGCCTTGAAGACAGGCGGAGAACCCGGCGGCCGCTTCACCCTGAAAATCCACATGCCACTGACGATGTTCGCCCCAGGTGGGGGAACCTCGTCGACGTAGGTGCCTGTGGACTTCCAGGAAGCCATCTCTGCGTCCATGGCTGTCTGCCACTGAGAGGAGTAGGGACCCTCCATCGCCTCTGCGTAGGAGCGTGGGGTCGGGATGTCTGGTGCATCCGGGTCTCCCTCAGGGGCAACTAGCATGGACACGAGATGAGGCAAAGCAGCGGCAAAGCACTCAAACTCCTCCTGTCTGTCCTCAAGGACGTCCGTGCCAAGAGCACACTCACCCCCGACAGACGGAGGACAGACAGACTCAGACTCAGACTCAGCAACAAGGCTAGCGGCGTAGTCTAGACGACAGGCAGCAGCAAAGTCAACAAGCTCAGCGACTAGAGCAGACGCAGCAGAGGACTCAAAGGAAGGGTCAGTGACAGCAGTGGCAAGGAGACGCGTGACAGTAGGACTGGCAGCACGAAGAGAGTCAGACTCCGGGTCAGCAAGAGCAGGAAGAGAGGACGCTGGTGGAGACGGCAGCGGGACACGCTGTGGAGCAGTAGAGGGACGCAGGGTCATATAGTGAGTGCCAAGGACAGGAGGAGGACGCTGACGTGTAACACGACGACCAGCGCGGACAGCGCGGACAGGCGACTCTGGACGCGACTCAGACGACTCTGGACGAGTCTCAGGCGACGGAGGACGAGACTCAGGCTCACGACGCTCCGTAAGACCTCCCGTCGGCGCAGTGTAGGGAGAAGGACCAGGAAGTGGAGAGACTGGCTGTAACTGTGATTGCGACTGGACAAGCGGTGGACTCAGTAGGGGAGGAGTAGGACCAGGAGAGGGCGGAAGGCCAAGAACCTGCTGAAGGAGCGGAACGTAGTACGGCCGTGGCCGCTCAGCACCTCCAGCTCCAACCCCCTCAGCAGGGCCAGTCCCAGCAGCTCCAGCAGCACCGCCAGCAATAGCAGGGTCCCCAGCAGCTCCAGTACCAGCAGCACCTCCAGCAGTGCCAGCAGCACCACCAGCAGCAGCAGCACCTCCAGCAGCTCCAGCAGCACCAGTACCAGCAGCACCTCCAGCAGCGCCAGCAGCACCGCCAGCAGCAGCAGTACCACCAGCAGCTCCAGTAGCTCCAGCACCAGTAGCACCTCCAGCAGCGCCAGCAGCACCAGCAGCACCTCCAGCAGCGCCAGCCGCACCGCCAGCAGCAGCAGCACCTCCAGCAGCTCCAGCAGCACCAGAACCAGTAGTACCTCCAGCAGCGCCAGCAGCACCTCCAGCAGCAGCAGTACCTCCAGCAGCTCCAGCAGCACCAGTAGCAACCTAGGCTCGTGATACCATGTTAGAATGTAGAACTGAACGAGAATGTGTGAAACTAGGCAGCAGGGTGATACAAGTAGGAAACCCTAGCAATGTTGTACCCCCTAAGGCTAAACCCACTATAGCCTACACAATATGAACATGTATAATGTTTGACAACTTGCACCCCTGATTCCGGGCCCCATTGTTGGCGCATTAGGGGTGCTTAGGACGCATCCCCTCCCTCGATTAATCTGCCCTCGATCGATTGAGGACAGTTATAATTCAACTGTACTATTGCTGTTATGAGTTGTAAAAGAGAGTGCGCAGGTAAACGAATTTCGAGACTGTGATTAACTGATCTGAGAATACAATGAAGGCACAGACTAATGTAGGGGTTGGCCTACCTAGGAGGAAACCTTGGACGAGCGAGGTTGGGGTGCAGTTTTGGCGATGGGAAATGCCGAAGGTGACGCGAGGAGCCTCGGCAGCGTTGAAATCGGCCGAACGTGCAAAGCCCGAAAATCGGGCTGTACGCGTAGCAGTCAACCCCGATAAGGAATTGGGGAAAATTCCTTCCACTACCCCCCCCCCCCCCCCCCCCCTTAAGAAAGGCGGTCAATATCCGAAACACGCCTGCGCACCAAGTAATCACAAACAAGTGACGAGGCGGTCAGCGAGTCAGAGTGCACCCACGTGTCGTCCTCACTGGTGCGATCGGTCCAACGGACCAGAAAATCCACGTGGCGACCAGCTGCGTCAAGGCGAACCCGATGTGCCAGAATCTTCGAAGGTTCGAGAGTCGGATCCGGGACAGGTCGTGCAGTTGGGGCAGCTTGTTGCCGCGCGATATCAGTCGTGGCTGGCACGAACTTCTGAAGCACGCTTACGTGGAAGGCGTCATGAATGCGCTAGTCGTCGGGTAGTAGCAGCTTCGCGGTGACAGGTGTCACCATCTTGATAATCTTGAAGGGCCCACAAAATCGTGGGCGCAGATTTGACGGGCCAGGCAGATGCAGATTCTTTGTGTCAAGTAGCACTAGTTGCCCAGTGGTCAAGACGAGTTCCCGGCGTAGAAGGTCGGTGTATTTGCGGGAAGTAATATTCGCCTTGCGAATTGCGTCGACGGCTTTTTCTCAGACTTCCTGAAGCTCCGTCACAAAATTTTGTGACCGCGGGACTGGGTTGTCGAGAGTTGTTGCCGTAGGAACTGTCGGGTCCATCCCGTGATTCAGGAAAAACGGGGAGTGATTAGTCGTGCTGGACGGGGCGTTGTTGAAAGCGAATTCCAACATGGCGAGTGAATCTTCCCAGCGGGCGGGGTCGGGGCAGTTTGTCCTGATCAGCTGCTCCATGGTCTGATTGGTCCGCTCAGTCTGCCCGTCCGTCTGAGGGTGATATGCCGATGAGAACTGTAGTTTCGTGCCGTACTGAGCCCACGTCTCCTTCCAAAAATTCGATGTAAACTTCGGGTCTCGGTCGCTGATGATCGCCGAAGGGATGCCGTGCAGTCGCACGACCGTTGAGATGAAGAGACGCGCAGTTTCTTCTTCTGTGATTGTTGTTCGGCATGGGGCGAAGTGCGCCATTTTCGTGAAGCGATCGACGACGACGAGTATAGCGTCGTTGCCGGACGGCCCAGCTGGCATCCCCGTGACAAAATCCATTGTCACTTGCTGCCACGGTCGTTCGGGTGGCTCGAGGGGCTGCAGCAGCCCAGCTGGTCGTTGACGTGTCGATTTCATGGCTTGGCACACCCTACATGAGGACACATATCGCTGCACGTCGTTAGAGGAGTCGGGCCAGTAATATTGACGGTGCAGTAATTTCTGGGTTTTATCAACCCCGAAGTGTCCGGAGAAGTTCAAATCGTGGACCTCTTGGATAAGGTGTTCACGCAGCAGCCTATTAGCGGGAACCCAAATCCGGTCGGTTCCGGCCTTTAGGTAATAATCCCCTTTCTGCGTCGTGGCCTGCTGATGATTCCCAGTCGTGAAGAACGGGTCCGTAGTGTAGCCGTGGGTGAATAGTCCTGTAAGTAGCGGGTTCAAATGGGTGATGAGTACTGCAGCGGATTGTACTGTCGGTCGGGTAAGGGCGTCGACGATGTTATTCGCCCCTTTCTTGTACGTGATGCGGTAGGTGAAGTGACTCTCCATGTAGTCCAGCCACCGAATTTGTCATGGGTTGAGGTTGGGTTGGGCTCGCAGGTACTGTAGGGACTTGTGGTCCGTGCGAACAGTGACTTCAGCGCACACCAGGTAGCATCGCCACAATTTAAACACATGTATGATGGCGAGCATCTCCTTGTCGTGGATCGGGTAGTTGCGTTCGGCTGCCTGCAGCTTGCGTGATTCGTAGGCGATCGGCTGAAACCCATTCCCGAAATCTTGGAGAAGCATAGCTTCGATGGCGAAATCTGAGGCGTCGGTGACGACTTCGAACGGCTTCGATGGGTCGGCGATGCGCAGCACAGGAGGGGAAACGAGAAAATTCTTGAGTTCCTGGAAAGCCGCTTCTGCTTCCTCCCCCCACACAAAATTCCTGTCCTTATGTAGCAGGTCGGTCAGCGGGCCGGTTATCCCCGCCATATTCGGGATAAACCGCCTGACGTAATTCACGAATCCGAGAAAACTCTGAAGTTCCGTGACATTCGTCGGGGACTTCCACTCCTATATGGTCTTGATTTTCGCCGGGTCGATTTTGATGCCGTCGCGTGAGATGACGTGCCCCAAAAACTCTAACTCCTGCTTAAAAAACTCGCACTTAGAGCCCTTGGTGATGAGTCGGTTCTCCTGCAGCCGCTTAAACACTGCATCCAGATCGCGGAGGTGTTGTTCCCTTGTCTTGCTAAAAATCAGGATATCGTCTAAGTAGACGATGACGCATCGGTCTAGAAGATCCCGAAAAACCCTGTTCATGGTGAGTTGAAATGTCGAAGGCGCGTTCGTGAGGCCGAAAGGCATCACTGTAAATTCGTAACTACCGTAGCGTGTGAGAAACGCAGTCTTGTGACAGTCGTCGGCGAAGACTCGAATCTAGTGGTAACCGCCACGTAAGTCAATCTTCGAGAAATAGCGAGCGCCGCGAAGTTGGTCGAGGAGGTCGTCGGTCCGTGGGATTGGGTAGCGAGACTTGATGGTGACCCGGTTCAGCGCGCGATAGTCGATGCACATGCGAAGCCCGCCGTCTTTCTTCGGAGTGAACAGGATCGGTGCTGCGAAGGGAGATGTGCTGGCCCGAATGAACCCTTTCTCCAACAGTGCGTCAATTTGACTTCGCAGCTCCTCGAGTTCCGGTGGGGTCAACCGCCACTATGTCCGAACAGTCGGCTGCGCTCCAGGTTCCAGCTGGATTTTGTGGTCCTCAGGTCTCTCGGGTGGCAGTCCAGGTGGCAGGTCGTCGGGAAAAATGTCGGGGTACCTCCGAATCAGCTCCGCTAAATCCGGTGGTACAGCTGCACACAGCTTCTCGATGTCCTTTCCGTCGGTGTCAACCGCCAACTCGCGTAAGCAAACAGCGAACAGTTGCGCGCCCCTGTTGAAGTGGCGAGCTATAGTGATGGCCTTGACGCACGGGGCTTGGATGTAGTCAGGTGTCCCTCGTGCTTGTTGATGCTGCACGATCCCGTTGTCCAGTCGATGACGGGGTTGTGCCGTCGCAGCCAATCACGTCCCAGCAACACGTCGCAGCCGTCCAATGTTGTCGCGAGAAACTTCATGCTGAAGCCGGAATCGTCGCCGCATTCGATCCTGACCGTCCGTGTTTCTTCCGTTATCGCCAGAGGCGTCCCATCCACGAGGCAGGCGTCAATTTTGGGCAGACACCTGTCAAGTTGCAGCTTGCATTTTTTGCGCTCGCCAAATTGAAGGGGCTATGGCTGGCTCCTCCATCGATGAACATTTTCAAGTTATTTTTTAACACCTTGCCAGCGACCAGCACCGGGTGATCCACATGTGTATCCCCGTTATTCGGCCGAGTGCGATCGATTGCATGAATCGGAACCACGACTCGGTGGGGATGGTGGGGTTCGGGCGACAAAGCACAGTCAGTAAAGGGCCCGCTAATTACTGACTCTTCCCATTTCCCTGCTCCTTCCTGTCGTTCCCCGTCAGCGGCGTTTTCTCGTGGCAGTCTTTCATGTAGTGACCCGTCTTCCCACATCGGTAACACGGTCCCTTAGGAGGGCGGTCGGGTGTATGGACGGCGTTGATCGTGGCCCGATGGGTCTGGCCACGAAAGCGGTTTCCATCCCTGGAAGCTGCTCTCGCGTACTGCATCAGCACATCTGTAGACTCCGCCAGCCGTACTGCTTCAAGAAATGATGTCGGGCGGCCCCTGCAAACTTCGTACTGTATCTTGTATTTGAGGCCGCTGATATACTTATCCAACCGCTCTGCTTCCGACATGTCATCAACTTGGTCGGCGAGGCCCATAAATGATGCCGTGTAGTCTTCGACAGAAGCCATCTGCGACCATGCACGCAGCTTCATGCGAGCTTGCTCCGAGGCGGATACGTGCTCGAAGCGATCTCGTAAGGCTGCGCCCCACTCCTTCTATGTGCGTATCGTGGTCACTCCGAAGATTGATTGTGCCACTTGATTAGTCACTGTTGAGGTCCCGTCTGCCGCATGCGTCACACCTGTCGGCGTCCCCGTTTCCAAGGTTCGGCGCCACCACTCAAGCGCTGCACCTCGAAGAAGTGAAACCGTGTAATTAATACGCGTGGCGTCGTCATTAATTCCTGCTGCAGTGAAGAAGACCTCGACCCCGAACAGCCACCCTTTTACTGTAACCGTCTTGTCCGTAGGATTAAACCGGGGCGGGTTGACGGGCTTGATCTTGATCGTCGTTACTGCAACTAGCGCTGCTGCCGCTCGCTGCCTATCCTCCTCTTCGAAGTCACGTGTGAGCGCGTCCAAGTGATTGCTCACCGCTTGACTGTTGCCCTCGCCTTCGTCCTCGGGCGACCACCTGACGCGCTTCACCTCGCGTCTGGCGCAGCTCGGCGTTTTCTTCACGCAGTGTTGTCACTTCCGCCATTAACGACTTCATGCTCTCCTGCATTTCTGCCACTTGTGCCATCATCCTGTTAACCGCCTCCTGATCCATGTGCCTAGCGCTGCGTCTGGTGGGCAATCGGGTATCCGTGGCCTTTCAGGCAAGTGAAAACACGAACTATCGGAGTCGGGCAGGATTGAATTAACAATCCCTGCA